CTTTCTTGCAGGGTAGCCTGCACGAGGAGATCTGGCTGCGCCGTCCACCTGGCTTCACTGGGACTTTCCCTCCTGGCACCCAGTGGAGCCTCCGACGGCCAGTCTACGGTCTCCGCCAGGCACCGCGTGAGTGGCACGACACACTGAGGACTACGCTTGCGGCTCTTGGGTTTGCTCCCTCTACTGCTGACCCGTCGTTGTTTCTGCGCACCGACACTTCTTTGCCGCCGTTCTACATCCTCGTGTACGTCGACGACTTGGTCTTTGCCACAGCTGACACTGCTGGACTAGCCCACGTGAAGTCCGAGCTGCAGAAGAGACACACGTGCACAGACCTGGGTGAACTGCGCAGCTACCTTGGCTTGCAGATCACTCGGGACAGAGCACGCCGCACCATTACCTTGACTCAGTCACACATGGTGCAGCAGGTCCTTCAGCGCTTCGGCTTCACGTACTCCTCGCCTCAGGCCACTCCTCTGCCTACTCGCCACTCGCTCTCAGCTCTGCCTTCGGATGAGTCCGTAGAGTCGAGTGGCCCGTACCCAGAGCTTGTTGGCTGCCTCATGTACCTGATGACCTGCACACGACCTGACCTTGCATACCCTCTTAGCATTCTTGCACGCTATGTTGCTCCTGGGAGACACCGACCAGAGCACATGGCTGCAGCGAAGAGGGTGTTGCGCTACTTGTGCAGTACGTCGGGCATGGGGCTAGTGCTTGGAGGGCGGAGTCCAGTGGTCCTCACTGGGCACGCGGACGCTTCTTGGGCTGACGACCAGGCTACGCAGCGGTCGTCGCAGGGTTACACCTTCAGTCTTGGTTCCGGCTCTGTCTCGTGGCGGGCTACTCGCTCGTCCTCTGTTCTCGGCTCCAGTTGTGAGGCTGAGATCTACGCCGGGGCCATGGCTGCACAGGAGCTTCGCTGGCTCACCTACCTGCTGACTGACCTTGGAGAGCAGCCTCGTTCTCCTCCAGTGCTGTACGTAGACAACAAGGCCATGCTGGCCTTGTGTCGAGAGCAGCGCTTGGAGCACAGAACGAAGCACATTGCTCTCCGTTACTTTCTTGCTCGTGAGCTGCAGCAGCGTGGTCAGTTGCGACTTGCGTACGTGGCCTTTGAGGCCAACACTGCTGATGTGTTCACCAAGGCACTTGCGCCTTGTGACCATCAGCGCTTCTGCACTCAGTTGGGTCTTGTACCTGTCTTGCCTCACTTGCTCTCCTCTTGACCTTGCTTGTACTGTCACATATATATACCTGCTCTTGCTTGTCTAGCTCTATACATATATGTGTCCTCCTGCATGTGAACTGGCCTTGTGGCCTTGTCGTTGTGCTCGGACTGTGTGGTGACTTTGTGATCCACCCTGAGCTTGCTGTGCTTTGCGTGACTGGTCTTGTGACCCCTTGTTCTCCCCCACTTTGCCTATGGGGGTGTGTCAGAACATTATATAGCTTATGCTGTTGTGTAGGCTATAGTGGGGTATCCCATAGGGGGTACAACCCAATCAGGGTTTCCTATATGTACTCACTTCATTCATAGTTCATCCATTTTCGCGTTCTCCTTTCCACATATCGACTACAGAGCACTGAACAGGGTAACAGTCAAATCGCGGTACCCCATTCCCCGCGCCGACGAACTGATTGACCAACTGCGAACAGCACGGGTTTTTTTTAAAATTGATCTACGGGGAGGTTACCATCAGATTAGGGTCGAACCATCGGACTGCGCCAAAACAGCTTTCAGGACTAGGTACGGGTCGTTCGAGTACACTGTGATGCCATTCGGGCTGACCAACGCACCGGCGACTTTTCAGATGACCATGAACGAGGCATTTAGGCCGCTCTTAGATAAATGTGTAATAGTTTACCTCGACGACATCCTAGTTTACAGTCGGGATAAGCAGCAGCACTTAGCAGACCTGGAAGCGGTGTTTAAGGTTTTAGACGAGCACAGATTACTGACCAAGGGTTCCAAGTGCGAGTTCTTCCAGGATAGGTTAGAATTTTTTGGGCACGTTATTTTGGAGGCTGGAGTTGAAATCGACCCAAAGAAGCTGGATACGGTGAAAGCGTGGCATCCCCCGACGAACGTCACGGAGCTGCAGAGCTTTTTAGGGTTCGTTAATTATGTGCGTCGGTTCGTCCCCGATATGGCACAGTTAACTGCCCCACTAACGGATTTGCTGCGAAAGGGGGTCGCTTTTACGTGGGGGGAGAAAGAGCATGCTGCCTTCTCTGCTCTGAAAAATGTTCTCTGTTCCCCGCCCGTCCTGCGCATCGCCGACCTTCACCGCCCATTCGAAGTAGTTACCGACGCAAGCGATATCGCCATCGGAGCCGTACTACTACAGGATTTCGGCAATGGCCTACAGCCTATCGCATACGAGTCACGAAAACTGCATCGGCCCGAGAAAAATTACCCGATACACGACCGCGAAATGCTTGCGATCGTGCACGCGTTCAAGGTATGGCGCTGTTACTTGACTGGCGCGGACGTGACAGTACGGACAGACCATAAATCACTACAGTACCTTCGCGCACAGCCACACCTCAACCCACGACAGATTCGCTGGCTCGACTTCCTCGAGTCCAACTTTCACTACACGGTCACATACAAAAAGGGAGCCTCGAACATCGCCGACGCACTGACCCGCCCCACTGCCCAGATCCACGCAATACTACTCGCCCAGACAAGCCCGCTATTGACAGGCCTATTCACCCACGGGTACCAAACGGATCCATTCTTCACAGGAGGAAATTCGCAGCAGTTCGCAGCAGCAAAGGGAGTCTATTACGTAAAAACCGGGACTGACCGCATTTGGGTGCCTGGGTATACACTGCTACGGGAATTACTGTTACAGGAGGCACACGACGGAGTTACCTCGGGGCATTTCGGAGTAGAAAAAACACTGCAGCAGTTACAGCAGTATTATTACTAGCCCGAAATGTTGACCGACGTACAACGACACGTGGCATCGTGTCCTACTTGTCAACTCATGAAATCATCACGACAGCGAACGGCGGGACAGTTGCAGCCGATACCACCCCCAGAGCGTGCTTGGCAGCAGGTGACGATGGACTTCGTCACGGGGTTACCAGCCGGGGCGAGTCGGAACGACGTGATCCTAGTCGTCGTCGATCGACTGACGAAAATGGCACATTTCGCAGCCTGCAAAAAATCAATCACAGCCGAAGAAACAACACGCCTCTTCATCTCCACCGTCGTTCGTCTGCACGAGATACCAGCCGCGATCATCTGCGACCGCGACACGAAATTCACCAGCAACTTCTGGCGGAACCTGTGGCAGCAGTTCGGCACGCGACTGCAATTCAGTTCATCATACCACCCCGAAACCGACGGACAGACAGAACGGACAAATCAGACCATGGATCAGCTCATCAGGGCCACGTGTGACGACCCGACGACGTGGGAACAGCAACTGCCACTAATTGAATTCGCGTACAACAACTCGCCATCCGCCACGACCCAACAGTCACCATTTTACCTAAACTACGGACAAGACCCGACAGTACCCATGACCCCGAAACCCGACAACCCAGTACCACGAGCACAACAGTTCGCCGAAATATTACAAGCAGCACGGACCCGGGCTGCAGACGCAATAAAAAAACCGAACATCATCGCTAAACGCAACGCATGTCAAAGTTAGCAGGCAGAAACAGAATTGAAGAAAGGAGCGGTTTTACTAGCAGTAGTTGGGATACATATAGCAAACCTTAACAGGGTTCTACTCGCTATAGAGCACCCCACTACAGGCTAGATAATAACATTCTGACAACGCCGACCGCCACCGCAGACATGTCACTTACCAACCCGACGACTTAGTTTTACTTGACACTCAGAACCTCCGACTGCCCATCACCCCGAAACTCCGCCTCCGATACTGCGGGCCATTTCGCATAAGCCACATGCTTACACCCGTCACCGCCCACCTCCTCCTCCCTGCTGACTGGTACGTCAGCCCCTCATTCCACGTCAGCCTGCTTCGCCCTTACGTCCCGTCCACGAGCCAACTGCCACGCAATCGCCCAGCCAGCATGACCAGACCACCAACTGAACCAATCATCACCCCCGAGAAAATCCTGAGTCACAGAGTTCGCGACCCTCGAGGAGCCCGAAGGATCAAGTTCTTACTCCGCTGGAAGGACCGTACACCCACCGAAGACAATTGGGTTCCCCTGGACAGAATCGAAAACCACCCCGTCCTCACCGAGTACCTGCGCAGCCGAAATTTCAGGGATGTACACGCACTTTCGTAAGGAGGACCTCCTTAGGGGGGGGGTAGTTTAAGGAAAATCTATTTTCCTTACTTCGCATCCCTGCTCAACGCGTACATCACTGTAGCACCACAGTCAGCACCGTTACCACTCGCAACCCTCGCATCGACAATCCGCCCGCCACCTTTCGCACGTCGCACCCCGACCTCACGGCTCGGCGGGTAACCCGCGCTCCGGGCCTCCGCTTCGACACTTTTCCCAACCTCAGTCCCAGGCCCGTCGCGCGACAACCACAGTCCATTACCGTTACCACTGTAGTTTCGCTATATATTCTTCGCTCATGCCTTCGCTCATTGTACTCTTGCTTCGATAGTGCAATTCTCGTTCGTTCACTCAATTGCACTCGTAACATTTGTAACAATCGTCTATTTCCAGTTTGTTCAATTCACCAGTTATTGTTGCAGACGCCTGCTGTACTCTGACAGCAAACTGCGTAGACACAGCGGACGAATCCCCCTGGTATTTCGTTGAAATGGGCTTCGCAAGTGCCAATCCAGCAGGGCAGGGAATCCACGTGTGAATATCGCGATTGGTGAGGAGCTGATTGCGAATTTGTTGCGATCTCACAAAACGAAGGATTTTGGAAACAGCAGAACGCAAGGAGGGTATAGGAATCACAGATCTTTTTCTGCTTCGGTTCCGGCAACACAGATCTGCTCACTAACCGAACTTCCTGCTACGATAGCAGTGTCTTAGCCACCATGGCAGCCATTGCATCGTCCTCCGCTCTGCGCGTTCCCGCTGCTCTGTCCGCCAAGACCCAGCAGCGCAATGGCAGCAGCTTCGTCTCCGGTCAGCCCCTCCGGTTCGCCTCCTCGGCTATCTCCCGCCTCACCATGTCTGCTGAGGCTCCCGCTGGATTCACCCCCCCAGAGCTGAAGGGCGACGTTCCGTCCCCGATCTTCGGCGGCAGCACTGGTGGCCTGCTCAGGAAGGCCCAGGATGAGGAGTTTTACGTGATCACGTGGGAGTCGAAGAAGGAGCAGGTGTTCGAGATGCCTACTGGTGGCGCTGCTACCATGAGAGCCGGTGAGAACTCGCTGAAACTGGCCAGAAAGGAGCAATGCCTGGCCCTTGGTACGCAACTGAGGACCAAGTTCAAGATTAACTACCAGTTCTACAGGGTGTTCCCCAGCGGCGAGGTGCAGTACCTGCACCCTAAGGATGGTGTGTACCCTGAGAAGGTGAACGCTGGTCGTGTTGGTGCCAACCAAAACCTTCGCTCCATCGGCCAGAACGTAGATCCCGCTGCTGTGAAGTTCACTTCGAAGCGCGCCAGCGATCTGTAGGTCTTTTATACCTGAAATATGTTTTGCGTTATTATTCTAAGATTTTCGTTCCCTAAGTGGTGATCTTGCACAGTCATACTTGTCGATTAGTTTCTTGTCCGAATTATTTCTTGTACCACACCCCTAGCGAAGGTGAGATGAGGGAGGAGAGAAAGAAGATAAGGTGAGTGAGGGAAGGTGATGGTTTCACGTACCTATGGTCCTTCAGGAGTACTAAAATGAGTGTCACTTATCGCAACAGAAACATTATTTGATGAACTCGTTTTCAAACTAGTTTCATCTAGAAAATAAAAGCTGCCTTCACTATTTCAACCTGGAATTTCCAACGAACTATTGGGTTATTTCTTGTCAGACTGAATTGATGTTACTTATTCTAAAAAATTTGTGGCCAAAAGAGATTCCGTGCCCATTCATTCCCTCTTCTGCTGCGTGTCTTGTTTTCCTGGTAGTATGCAATACCGGTATATTATATTTATTGACTCTGGTCTGGTCTGGTTCCTCCGTTACATTAGCACGTAACGGAACGCTCTGTGCGTATCCCCCAAGCTGACCCGCGATTTGGCACTTTCTCAAGTACACCTTTCGTTCGGTCGAAGAGCGTGACTGAATAAGTTGATTATAGAGCCTCGTTCCTTTTCAGATATTCACGGGCAACAACGGGCACGAAACAGTTAAACCTGCAGAAAAAAAAGCACTGTTAGGGTCTCAAAATGGGCTGTCATCAGCGCAAGCTCCAGATATTTCGTCAACTTCGAAGTTTGCATTGGCCCCTTTACTGTCTATATAACCCATGCGATTGGAGGAAAGGCCAGCGAAGCGTCTTTGCCAAGTTCAATCTGATGTCGATTCAAACACAGGGTAACTGTACTGGGCATTTCGTGTACACACAGTCCTCGCCAATTTCACTAGGGCCAATTTCACCCCCCTGTGTATTCGTTTTTAATTTCCCCAAATTTGAGGCTTGTTTCGAGTAGTTTGGCTTTAAGGAAAGCAATGACTGGGACTGCACACATGAGGCAGCGGAAAAAACAAAAAATACATGGTCGCAGCGGAAGATTCAGTCTTTGCGTTGCGGTCTCAACGTCAGATGGGGCAACATCGAAACTTACAATGCCTCGGATAGCCTCTAGTTCGTGGGTGTCTGATACCTATAGCCAAAAAAGATTAGTTTGGCTTTAAGGAATAACTGACGGGGCGTGAAATTGGCGAGGACTCGGTGTAATTCTTGAGCTTCCCCGCCACTACCAGCCACCCATGAATGTTCGGCTGTCAGCGCCACACCAAACGGAGCAGAGAGCATTCATTTTATCCTGTGTTGCTCCAAAACTTTTCTTCGCAGCGCTTGGTGCTTCTCGAGGCAAGCCAGGCCCTTGTAGCCAAGACGAAGCACGTTCGACCACATAGGCCTTTTTGGACCTTGGGTTGCCCTAGATTCGGAACCACATGTTTTGACTCGGCTTGGAGCCTCCCAAGCCATGACAAGCTCCCATAGCTAAGTTGAACGAACGAAATACCATGCCGAACCGCGTGCCCGTAGCTACCAGAAGGAAGGCGAAGTGTCCTACTATTGATTTTTTGGGTCCCAACCAAATGGCGAAGGCCAGCAAGCGGCCGTCCCAGCCAGCTCCCCTGCGTTGTCCTTGTGGTTCGTTCGTCCTTGATATCGTCGTAAACGTGAACCGCAATGTCCAACAAAGCGATCAACTACAACGAGCCGTCCCACCCACGGGCTGTCGAGAATGCGGGCTCGGCTCGGGAAAACGTCCCTGCCGTGCCTGCCGCCTTTTGCTTGCCACATCATGCCATGGATACTGGTTCGGGATTCAGGAAAATCAAGGCTTGCTGGATTCGAGCAGATAACAGCTACAGCTTTCTCAAGCTCTCGAATGAGCTGATTCTGGAATCATTCCAACACATTTCGAGTCATCCACGGGAGTTCTTTCCGACCCTTTTCACCTATTACTCAGTGTCTGAGTATTTCGTGCTTCCTTGGTAGTAAAAACGCGGTTCGGAAATGGCCTCTGTGTCGCACATCGCGTCGAGCATTCTGGAAGCATCACCCATCTCAACCGTCCGTCTCGTGGGCCCGCGGAAAACAGTGTCACCATCTCTGAGCAGGAACCTTCGTTATCCGTTGATTCGTTACAAAAAAAGTGCCTCACATTCTGAGTGTCGTGCGTCTGGCAGCATCAGCAGCAGCAGTATCAGCAGCCTCTGCAAAAAAGGTTCTTTTGCGACGAGGCCTTCTGGGGCTCGCAATGTCCACCGCGGAGGCTGTTGGAGGGGTGTTGCTGCTTCTGCGTCTTCTCCTGCTGCTTCCGCGAGCAGCATGGGCACAGGGGGACCGGCGGTGTCGGAGGCAGTCATTGTGGGTGGAGGTTTGGCCGGCCTCGCAACTGCTATTGGCCTCCGTAACATTGGGATTGACGCGCAGGTGTGGTGCTATCAGAAAGCTGGAATTAGGTAAGAATGCTGAATCAGGAGAATCTGCTGGAATCAGGGGAAAATGTTGGAATCAGCTAAGATTGTTGAAACTGACTGAATAGCTAAACAACAATATGATGCATGTAACCGTATCAGTCCTGCTCTCTGAAGCTTGCTGATTAGTTCGTTTATTCCCATTGAGTCTGCCTGTTGTAAGATTCATGCTTCGAATGCAGACTGATTGTCCTGGAACATGCAACCGTTCCATGTAACATGTTATCGTGCAAAAGCCACATGCCATGCCACGTCTCGTGTCACATGCCATTCCACATGCCCACAGGCCATCATGCCGCATACCACATGCGACATGCGATGCCTCGTGCAACATCCCCACATCCAGGCATTGGAAGATGTGCGAGGGGAGGGCTTTCGAAAAGACTCAAAAGCCATTCCATTCCATGCCTCATGCCACATGCCATGCCTCATGCCACAGGCCATGCCTCTTGCGACATGCCATGCCTCATGCCATTTCCCCACGTGCAGGTGTATGAGGCTGGGGACGACGTGTGAGGGGAGGGCTCTTGCGTCGTTTCAACAGCCATTCCATTCCATGCCTCATGCCACATGCCATGCCTCATGCCACAGGCCATGCCTCTTGCGACATGCCATGCCTCATGCCATATCCCCACGTGCAGGTGTATGAGGCTGGGGACGACGTGTGAGGGGAGGGCTCTTGCGTCGTTTCAACAGCCATTCCATTCCATGCCTCATGCCGCATGCTGCATGACGCATGCCACATACCATGCCTCATTCCACGTCCCCACTCTATGCCTCATGCCACATTGCCCCATGCAGGTATACGAGGCACGGGACGAGGTGCAAGGGAAGGGAACCTTCATCGTCCTCTTCCCGAACGGGCTCAGGGCGCTCAGCAGAATCGACCCTGCGATTGTGCCCCAGGTAAGTGCGAGTGATGCCTGCATGTGATGGCGATGCCTGCATGTGATGGTGATGCATGCATGTGATGGCGATGCCTGCATGTGATGGTGGTGATGCATGCATGTGATGGCGATGCCTGCATGTGATGGTGGTGATGCATGCATGTGATGGCGATGCCTGCATGTGATGGTGATGCATGCATGTGATGGCGATGCCTGCATGTGATGGCGATGCCTGCATGTGATGGCGATGCCTGCATGTGATGGTGATGCATGGATGTGATGGCGATGCCTGCATGTGATGGTGATGCCTACTCCCTTTCCCTCCCTTGGCCCATTCCCTTTCGTCTCCTATTTACCTCAGTTGATATCCCGCGGAGTACCGAACCCCACCGTTCTGAGCCGCTCTCCAACTGGCGATCCCGTTATCCAGTGGGACCTTGCGTCCAACATGACCACACGCTTCGGCTTCCCCATGCTGGGTATTCGCTGGCAAGAGGTGCTTGACGTGTTGCGTGGGATGCTGCCAAACGATGCCGTCCACCACGGGCACAGGCTTGTGGGATTTACACAAGGAGAGGAGGAGGGGGGAGGGGGGAGTGATGGGAGCGGCACAGGCACGAGTAATGGCGAGGTGAAATGCGTCTTCCGGAGGGTTATCGGCGGTGAAGAGCGGTTGCTGGAGGTGGAGGTGAGCAGGGGAGAGGAGGTGGAGAGAAAAGGAAGGTGAGGGATGGTTTTATGTGAAGAGTGGGATGTGGAGACGGAATGGGGGAGTGGGGGGAAGGGAGGGTGGGTTGAACGCAAAGTGAGGGGTGCGTGAAAGGTGCGTGTCAAGGCAAGCAATATCTGGTTCTTGCAGGTATCTTGTAATCGGCCGTTAAAAAATAGAGTGTGGGGCAAGGAAGGGTGGGTGGGGTAATGAAGGGTGGACGGATTAAGGGTGGATAGGGTAAGGAAGGGTGGATAGGGTAAGGAAGGGTGGATGGGGTAAGGGAGGGTGGATGGGGTAATGGATGGGGTAAGGAAGGGTGGGTGGGGTAATGAAGGGTGGATGGGTTAAGGAAGGGTGCGTGGGGTGTTGACAGGGTTATTTGAATCTCTTCATCACACAATCAAGAATTGTGGGATCACCTCCTCCTTTTCTTCTCTCCCGTCCGTGGCCCGCCAGACGAGGGTTTCCGGGGGCAGGCCGTTTGCACCCTACCTCTCGTCGTACCCATTTCCACGGCACTTCACCCTCCTTTTGTTCTCCCATCCGCCAGACCCCTTCGGTGCTAGGGACGGACAGCGTTCACTCAGAGACAGCGTCGCTTGCTCCCATGCTCTCTCCCTCGTCATGGTACCCTTCTCCACCGCACCAGATCGCTCAATTCTTCCACCGATGTGATCCCTCCCATTCGGCAGACCCCACTGCTGCTGGGGGCAGATGGCATTCACTCGGAGGCACGAAAGCAGCTGCTGGGGCGGAGTGGGAATGGCGGTGCAGCAGGTGAGGGAGTGAGTCCGCGGGACAACGGTAGAACCTCCTGGAGGGCCATCATCGACAGTAGCCTCTGCCCCCACCCTGTATGTGCCCTACCCAGTTACACATGCACTGCGTAAAATCTGGAGCAGGAAATTTATGCTCCCTGGTTGTTGTTTTTTGTTTCGCTTTGTTTTTTTTTTTCCCTCCAAACTTGAGGTTTGCAGCTCTTTTGCTATAAATGAAACCGTCAATGTCAGCCGCACATCCACTCTCATTCACTCGAAAGCTCACTGCCAACCACAGGATTTTTACGCTCCCTAAACTATCCCATCATCTCCGTCTCTCTACTTCACAACTCTCGCTTCCAGCAGCTGCTGCAGCCACAGCACATACTCAACTACACTCGATGTAAATCTCAGTAGCAGCTTTGTTGTACGTGGTAGGTTCACAAGGATGCATGCTTTGAGACGTCTCAAAACGCAGCAACTGTAGTAGGTTGTAGGTTGCAGGTTCAGGAGCAAGCACCGCATGCTCTGTCAACTACACCATCCCCCCATTCATCCTTTTCCATTCTTCCCTTTCCTGGCCTTCCCTTCCCTTCCAACAGCTACTGCAGCCACGCCAGATACTTACTACACTCGGTGTCAACCGCACTGCAAACTTTGCCGATGCCGCAGCAGGCAAGCTCTGCTGGGCGCTCACGCTCGTTGATTCCGCCGATCCGACGGTCAGCAGCGAGCGGTCCAGCGGGGGGGAGGAGGCGAGGGAGAAGATTCTGCGGGCGTTTGAGGGGTGGGATGTGGTGACGCAGCTGGTGCTCGCCACTCCCCCCGACCTCATTCTCGAGCGCCATGTGCTCGACCTGCCGCCCCTGCCCTTCTGGGTCCATGGCCACACTGCTCTCCTTGGAGGTACGGTGTTATTAGGTTAGGAGGTATGACTCTTCTGGGAGGTAGGGCAATCCTGCGGGATGGAGGTTATGTACATCTGGACGGAACAACTCCCTCATGCTTATTCCCACTTCACTGTGATCCAGCGCTTAATTGCTCGGGCATGGCTCACTAATTGCTTCCTCTCTACCTTTCCTGGACCCCTGCCTTACCTGCACTGACCCCTGCCTTACCTGCACTGCCCTCTGCCTTACCTGCACTGCCCTCTGCCTTACCTGCACTGACCTCTGCCTTACCTGCACTGCCCTCTGCCTTCCTGCATCACCCTCGGTCTGTCCAGATGCGGCGCATGCAGTGACGCCAGCGCTGGGGCAGGGCGCCAATCTGGCGTTTGAGGATGCGGCTCAGCTGGTGGAGTGCCTCCGGGCACACTCGCATGTCAGGTGGGTTGCCAGGTGGGTGTGATGGCATGTCAGGTGGGTGTGATGGCATGCCAGGTGGGTGTGATGGCATGCCAGGTGGTGTGATGGCATGCCAGGTGGGTGTGATGGCATGCCAGGTGGGTGTGATGGCATGCCATGTGGGTGTGATGGCATGCCACAAGTGGGTCTTTGAAACACCTTAAAACACATCCGCGTCTTCCCTTCCCTTCTGCTTCCCGTCCCTTCCAGTGACGCTCTTCGCTCCTTCCAATTCATCCGCATGCCACGAGTGCACGCGGTGGCATCACGGAACATCGCGCACACAAAGGAGCTGTATGACGAGAAGAAAGAGAAGAAAGCAGCAGGGGATGGGCGAGGAGTGAGCAGCAGTGATGGAAGTGAGGGAAATGCAGTGCCAAAAATTGAAGAGGTTCAAGCTGCATCGGCTGCAGTGGCAGTACGAGAGGGGCGCGATCCTGACGAGGACCTATTTGGTTATGACGTGGTTTGGAAGGAGCATCTTCGTGGTGCGAGTGTTGTGCACTAACGTGATCCTTTTTTACAAACGTGTCATTACAAGGGGGTGTGATGTGATGCTGATTGGGTTCTCTTCGCTTGTGAGAAAAGTTTGTTGTGTTGCAGCTGCTGTACAGTCACGCGAAGTGCATAGTGTCTTGTGATAAGATGCGATGGATGCAATTTCATTTGCACCTGTCTGTACTATTTGACATATCATCGGTATGATGTACCTGAAACACCCAAATGGTCTACAATTTCGTTTCGTCGTTACAATGTTCCACTCCACGCCCTTTAGGGACTGTTACGAGTGCAATTGAGCGCGCGAGCGAGAATTGCACTATCGAGGCAAAACAGTACATTGAGCGAAGGCATGAGCGAAGAATATATAGCGAAGCTAGCGTGGCAATGGTAACGCGAGATTTTAGGGTGCGCTACGGGCCTAGCGCCAAGGTTGGGAAATGTCGAGGCGAAGGTCCAGAGCACGGGTTACCAACCTGTCAAAGCATATGCATGTTATATATGTGTAGGCTGTAGTGGGGTAGCCAATATGGGGTACAGCCCCGTTTAGGGTTTCATACTTGTACCCAACTCTTCCATAGTGCATTCATTCCTGTCTCTAGATTCTAACATGGTTTCAGAGCAGTAGTAGGTCCGTAGGACCGTCTTTATTTTTCGGGCCCACCTACCACTACGGCTTCGCGCGCCGCGCCCGCCGCTCGCGTAGCCCGCTGCAGCCCCATCGCGCCGCGGCTGCTCCTGTTCGTCGCGGTGCCCCCCCCCCCCCCCCCCCCGGCCTGTCGCGACCCCCCCCCCCCCCCCCCCCCCCCCCCTCCCCCCCCCCCCCCTGGACGCCGCCCCTGCCTGACTGCCGCCGTCGCTCCTGCAGCAGCTGCCGCGGAGCGCCCTGCCACGGTCGCGGCCCAGCCCTGCAGAAGCTGCCGCGGAGCCTCCTGCTGCTGTCGCGGCCCCGCCCTGCAGCAGTCTGCGCGGCCCCGCCCTGCAGCAGTCCTCGCGGCCCCGCCCTGCAGCTGTCACGGCCCCGCCTTGTAGCAGGTGTCGCGGACCTGCCCTACCGCCGACGCGGCCCTGCTCTGCAGCAGCTGACGTGGCCCTACTTTGCAGCCGCTGTTGCGGCCCTGCCGTCGCTGCCGTCGTGCGCCTAGCCTGCCTGCCTACCTGCCTACCGCGCCTGCCCTGCCCGCGCTGCTACTGCTGCTACTTCTGTTACTGCTACTAGGCTGCTGCTACTGCTGCTACCTACTGCTGCTACTGGCAGTGGCCAGATGCAGCTCCAGCGATGTCCGCGCGAGTCTCTCATGCCCCAGCAGCTTTGTGAGTGGTACGCTAGTTGGGGTTGTGGCGGTAGCCGTCGTGGCTGTCGCCCTGGAGCTGGTCAGTCGGGAGCGTCTGGCAGTGGCCAGCTGCAGCTTCGTGAGTGGTACGCTCAGAGTGGAGGGTCTTGGAGTACCGTTCGCTGCCCGTACGTCATTCGCACAGGTGATCGGGCTGGTCAGGCTTGCGGGACGCTTGGTCACACACAGTCCCGCTGCTTCGCCCGACTGAGCGACGCCTGGCGTACCGAGTTTGGCGACGAGGCTGAGCTCCCCACCTGGGTGGAGCTGCTTAGGCAGAGTGTAGATATCTTTGCTCTTGACTATGATGCTATTCTCACTGCCATGTATGCATTGCCTACTAGTGCTGACGGTGCCTGTTACCTGTGCGTACCGCCTGACCCAGGTATAGAGGCTGCTGCTCTAGGTGCTGGTGAGGCTGCTGCTCTAGGTGCTAGTGCGTCTCCTGCTCTAGGTGCTGGTGAGGCTGCTGCTCTAGGTGCTAGTCCGTCTCCTGCTCTAGGTGCTGGTGAGTCTGCTCTCTCTGGTACTGCGCCTGCTGAGGCCTTGTACACCTTCACACTTGACTCCGGTGCTTCTCGCTCCTTCTTTCGCGACAGCACCACCCTCACGCCCCTCAGTCGGCCGGTTGCAGTCTCCCTGGCAGACCCCTCTGGGGGTCCAGTCCTTGTGCACTCCTCCACGGTCCTGCCGTGTCCGGCGGTCCCGTCTGGCTCCCTGTCAGGTCTTCACCTCCCCTTGTTCTCTACGAACTTGGTGAGTGGTGCTGACCTCCAGGACGTGTGGGTTGACCAGTTCACTCCTGGAGGTCACCGCGTGACCCACTGTACGTGCTCCCGGACGGGCTGGCACCTGGCCACGTTTACCCGTGCGCCTGGCTCGAGTCTGTACACACTGACTACTGTGTCCCCTCAGGTCGCTGCGTCTGCGTCTGCGTCAGGTCAGCTAGCGCCCCCTTGCTCGTGTCGCGCTTTGTCACACCAGACCCTCCTTTGGCACCACCGCCTTGGTCACCCCTCGGTGCAGCGCCTTCGTAGCATGCACCGCCGTGTCCTTGTCTCTGGTCTTCCCAGGGTTCTCCCCCCCCTCCCACCCTCGCCTGCTCCTCCCTGTCTTCCCTGTGTCCAGGGGCGGCAGCGCGCCGCTCCTCACTCCTCCTTGTTTACCCCGACGACTGCTCCCCTGCAGACCCTGCACATGGACGTGTGGGGCCCCGCCCGCGTCAGTGGACAGGACCGCGAGCAGTACTTCCTGCTGGTTGTTGACGACTACTCGCGTTACACCACGGTCTTCCCCTTGCGCACCAAGGGTGAGGTCCCTGATGTTTTGATCCCTTGGATCTGCGCTGCCCGTCTCCAGCTCCGCGAGCGGTTCGGGACGGAGTTTCCCGTCCTGCGTCTGCACTCTGACAGAGGTGGGGAGTTTTCCTCCGACCTTCTGCAGAGCTTTTGTCATGGGGAGGGCATTCGCCAGACGTTCACGCTTCCAGCCTCTCCGTAGCAGAATGAGGTTGCTGAGCGCCGCATTGGCTTGGTCATGGAGGTCGCTCGTACCTCCATGGTCCATGCGGCTGCCCCCCATTTTCTGTGGCCGTTTGCGGCCCGCTACGCCGCGCATCAGCTCAACCTCTAGCCCAGTGTCTCCTTGCCGGAGACCTCGCCCACACTGCGTTGGACGGGGGAGGTTGGCGATGCGTCGGTGTTCCGGGTCTGGGGTTCTCGTGGCCATTGTCCGCGATACCACCGCGGACAAGCTCTCCGCCCGCGCTGTTCCCTGTGTCTTCCTTGGCTTTGTCTCTGACGCGCCTGGTTGGCAGTTTTACCACCCCACCTCGCGCCGTGTCTTCCCCTCTCAGGACGTCACGTTCGACGAGTCGGTTCCCTTTTACCGTCTCTTCCCCTACCGCACTGCACCTCTCCCCCCCCCGCCACTCTTCCTCGCTCCAGGTGCTCCCCAGGTAGACCCCCTCCCCGCTCCCGGTCCTGCTCCTTCAGGTGTGTCTCAGGTAGACCCTCCTCTCTGTCTACGCTGGTTGAGGTCACTGGTGACTCAGGTCCTGCTGAGGGTGGTCCTGCTCGGGGTGCTGCTTCTGGGGGTGCTGAGCCTGGGGGTGCGGAGCCTGGGGGTGCTGAGCTTGGGGGTGCGGAGCCTGGAGGTGCCAAGCCAGGGCGTGAGGAGTCTGGGGGTGCTGAGCCTGGGGGTACCGAGTCTGGGGGTGCTGCACCTGGGGGCGCTGAGGCGTCTGGTGAGCAGTCTCCTTGGAGCGGCCGTCTCCGTAGTCGCTCCGCTGGTGCCTCGCCGCTACACTCTTGTCGTCGTCTCCCTCTCTCCCCATAGCAGCTGCGTGAGCGGTACATTAGCCGTCAGGGTCGAGCTGCTGGAGCTAGGGGCCCTGCTGCGGGAGGTGCTCGTGTTGGAGGCACTGGAGCCGGCGCTGTCCCTCTCTCCCCGCAGCAGCTGCGTGACTGGTACGTTAGCCGTCAGGGTCGCGCTGCTGGAGCTAGGGGCCCTGCTGCGGGAGGCGCTGGAGCTGGTGACTCTGCTACTGGAGTTGTTTCTACTGGAGTTCCTTGAGCGTCTGGTCCCGGAGGTGCTCGTACTGGAGGTACTGGAGCTGCTGGGATTGGAGGTCCTGCTGGACCTGGAGGTGCTGCTGTCGACTCTGAGGTTGGAGGCCCTGGAGCTGGAGGTGCCGGCTCTGGGGGTGCTACTGCTGGTGGTGCTGGAGCTAGAGGTTCTGGAGCTGCTGCGGGTGCTAGCGCTGGAGGTTCTGGAGCTGTTGGAGGTGCTGGAGCTGGTGGCGCTGGAGCTGGAGGTTCTGGAGCTGCTGCGGGTGCTGGCGCTGGAGGTTCTGGAGCTGTTGGAGGTGTTGGCGGTGGTGGCGCTGGAGCTGGAGGTTCTAGAGCTGCTGCGGGTGCTGGCGCTGAAGGTTCAGGAGCTGTTGGAGGTGCTGGCGCTGGTGGCGCTGGAGCTGGAGGTTCTGGAGCTGCTGCGGGTGCTGGCGCTGGAGGTTGTGGAGCTGTTGGAGGTGCTGGCACTGGTGGCGCCGGAGCTGGAGGTTCTGGAGCTGCTGCGGGTGCTGGTGCTGGAGGTTCTGGAGATGCTGAAGGCGCTGGAGCTACTGGTGCTGGTGTCACTACACCGCGGCGACTGTTCGCTCCACCGTCACCTTCGTCTCTGCCACCCCCTGGCTCTGTGCTTCGCCAGGTTCTTAGCCTCCTGTCTTCTACTGGTCTTCCGTTACAGCCTGGCTCACCGCTGCCTGCTCCTTCTCCTTATACTGAGCTGACAGGCGGTCTTGCTGAGCGTCGTGAGCCTGCGTCTCCTCCTGTCTCGCCTGTTCGCACTGTCCGCACTAGTCGTACTGGTCGTCGTGTTCCTCGTCCGCGTCCGCCGGCTGTCCCCGGCACACACCTCATGGCCCTGCGTCCTTCCTCTGCTCCGCAGCGTGTTCCCTTGCCGTCCCCTCCTGCGTCTTCTCTGTCTGACGGTCCAGAGCCTGAGTCTGACCGCGCTCGTGCTGCTCACCCTACTGTCACGCGTCTGCTCGCCACTGTTGTCACTGACCCGTCGTTTGAGTCTGCTACTGCGTCTGCCTTAGTCGCTGAGCTTGTTGACTTCGCTGCTGCCTGTCGTCTAGACTACGCCGCTAGTCTTGTTGCTGAGTCTGAGTCCG